ATATAAATTATCTACTTCTAAAATAACGCATATCCATGTGTTGGAATGGGTTTTCCGATCATCCGATGCATATATTTGAATACCTAGGGAAGGAGGTACCAGAGCAAAATTGGAATAAGAAAGAAGTGTGCAGAGTCATCAATTCAAGACTCAAAGAGCTTCATCTGATAGAGGTTTCACATAATGATGTTCGGCCGGCCAACATTTATGTGTCTGTTTCAGGTAAGATTTCTTTGATAGATTTTGGATTATCGGACTGCAAAATTAATGAAGAAAAATTAATGAAGAACACAAGAAGAATGATTTTGATACTCTTGACTATATATTGAGAGCGAATGGTTCTAATGAAGATAAAAGTGAAAGCGAAGTTATGCTTGCTGGTAGAGCAGACGAGGATGCCAAATATGGAAATGATAGTAATTCTTCTAGCGAAGAAATATTTGATGAAGGGAGTTCAGGAACTTTCGGTACCAGGACAACGATAGAAAATGTTACCTCTAAATCATCAAGATGGTAATGCATACCTACAAGCTATTATCGTAACTTACCCGTTTGAATATTGGTATATTTCAAGTATTATTTGGCCTAAACTCGAAATAACTGGCAACGCTTTTCCTTTCAGTATAGGTGCTCACCTGTTTGAACTTATGTAATATCGTACAGCTTTCAGACTCATCTTTTTCAACTCTCCATAGCTTTCACGCTTCTCTATTAATTACTCCTTGGCTAAAAATGAGCTAATACATAACTTGCTTGTATCAAATTTGTAATTGTTGGTCTATGGATTGGGGTAGAAGCCTTTTGAAGTTTGTGGATTCTGTCTGTAGTTTGTTGTAATTGTAGCAAAACCCAAACGTGGTATACACGCCTCGATACAGTTTGGATGTTCCTTCCACTGTAAGCTGATCGATCTCTGTCGATTGTGGCGGCAAACACAGGATATGGAGTAATGTTATGAGAATAAGCATCAACTTGGAATGCACCTGGTGGAACCAACCTATGTCGTTGTTATACAATTCAAGAAACCGGTACTTATATCGGTCATACAGCGGCACATGGATACACTCGGTAAATGAAACCATGCCGTCACTAAGCCGCGCAATATCGACATAATATTCGAGCGCTTCGCTGAGACACTTCAAGAACAAGCGAATTTGCAAACTCGTACAACCGATCGAAAATGGTCCGAATCATGTTTTTGTGACCCACAACGGAATTGTCGCTGTTGTAAATGTCCCCTGTGGTCATGTTGAGGTTGAAGAGATTCCCTTAGCTACGGGCTAATGAGAGTCCTAGATGTATGTAGTGCGTACGTGCCAGAGTCAACAAGCGGTACAGGCCCGCCTCCACAATCGAGACATCCTCTGCCTCTCGAAGTGACACATGACATAGACGGGCCCGCTTGATGATATCTAACAAAATGCACGTCTTGGCTACGTAGCCTATTCCACTCAACGACCGACAAAACTTCTTGGTCTGATACACAGACCCTAGAAACCCAAGGAATATCACAAAAGAGTTTTCTTTCGAACCAGATGTACCTTCCTCTCGCTCTTGCTCTTGTTCCCTTGCTTCTTCTCCATAAAGCGGATAGTACAAATTAGCCAAGGACTCAGGGTCTTCGTCTTGTGATGGTCCAGACCCCGACTCGGCTGGTACAGGCCCAGTGGTAGTACTAGTAGTAGCCTCTAAATACACCCTCAAGTCGTTGTGGTTGCCAAAGTTGTCTTCATCCAAGATTCCTACCGCTATGTCGTCTCCCTCCAAGTCAAATGCGGTAATATCTTCACCTGCGGGAGCTGTATCAGATACACCACCCTCTGTTGCAACCGCAAGATTTTCATCAAACTCTTTCCTGAGACACTCGTTTGTGATCCAATATACGAGCTGGTCAATGTCGCGGAGTAACAGCTCGGTGAATGTCAGGTTTAAGATCCGCATGCGTTCGTCAGCACTGATAAACTGCGAGTAGCCTGTCAATTTGTGGTAATCGTCAGGGCTAATCTCCAATACAGCATCTTGTTCTCTGTATGATTCGAGAATTTCTGTGATTGCAAAGGAGCCTGCAGTTTTGGAGCCATACATCAATACCATGTATATAAGCTCGGCCATGTATTTGCTGTATTGCACGCAAGTCAGGTACGTCTGGACCGCGGAAATAAGTGGATCCACTGGTGTTATTTGCAGCACCTTTAAGAAGGCGCACAACCCGGAGTCCGGCAAGATTAATTTGGTTGATGTTGGCGCTGAGAAGGGTCATGGTGCCCACCAAGAGCTACGCGATCTTTGCGACAATGCTTGCTTCCTTCATACCGGAAACTTGCGTGTGTACCACATTACAATCCACTTCTTGAAGAATCCGTTTCACCAACGGGTGGTGCTACAGGTTTGGCATATTGGTGGTGCGCAGGTTCTGGACAGTGGTGGCATTTGAAGGTACCGGTGTTGTAGATTCTGTCGATGATGACGATGCCACTAATGACGATGCCACTGATGACGACGGCAACGACGACAATGCTACCTCTCGTCCTGTTTCCATTCGCGCGCGATTCTCCGCGTACCCGTTGTCCGTAGGACAGTAGACCTCAAAGTTGACAGCCATGCGTCCATGCTTTTGCGAGAACTTTTGGAATGCCACCGGCCGCGTCGAGTCTCGATTGATACAGGGGTGGCGACTCATTTCGCGGAACTTTCTTCGAATGATGCCGCAGTCACAGCCCCATCCAAAGTGGATGGGGACCCCTTGGAACGGCATGCATTGCGGGCTGATTCGACCGCGCCCATGCTCGAACCCGGGCGAGCTAACTTCGCAGTGCCGCTCAAGATGTTTAAAGATTTCGTCCTTTGCCTGTTGGCATCGTATGGTCTCGGTGAACTGTTCTATCTTGGAACATATAGCCTGCGCGTACCGCTCAAACAACTCCAGCGGAATGATAAAGTTTTTCCGTTGGTAATCCAATCTTCTTGTGCACACCCAACCCTAGTTTGGCATTGAAGTAGTAGTCGCAGACATCGTATTCAATTGGCTCCGCGAACCTGCGGTAGCTAGTGTGGATGATCAGTCGGAGCTCATAGCTAAACTGCGCGCCGTAAACCTCTTCGTATTCTACCGGCAGCATATTATAATCGTAATCGTATCGTGGTTCTTGGGCTCGTACTGGTCTGGCATTTCCTCCATCGTGGGGAAGCTATTGAGAGCGGTCATTTTCCGGTTTTGTG